ATCATCAGTAATCAGACACACTTTATATCCATAAGTACATCACCACTAGATGGCAGCAGAAAGACACCATCTATTAACTGTGGTCATTTATAAATTATTTTACCTTATTCCTTTTATCATCACATTTATAATTGTTTCTTGTGTTTTTAATGATGGTTTTGCTCAGACACACTTTCCAAAACCTCCCAAAATAAACACTTTTACTGAGCAGTTTTGTCTCGGATGCTATCTAAGGTAAAACTCCTGAAGTTGTGGCACACTGAGGTTGTTTGTGCCAGCTGGCAGAGTATCAAACTTTCATGTAATGTAAATATAAGATTCACTGAGGTTCCCACAAGAAATGGGATGGGCTTCCTCCGGAGGCTTTCTCTGGGGTCTGTAATTGTGTGGAATGTGGTTAGGTGGTTTTTTTTGGGCCAGAGGTCAATCACTTTGATGTGCTTCTTCTCCTCTGCTTTCTGAAGTGCTGCTGAAAGTTTAGCCTGTATTAAAACGAAAACCATAAAAGTTATGAACTCCGTGAATAAGACACTGAGAAGCGCTGGTCTGATCTCTGGAATGTGTTGGTTGATGTATACTTAAAGAGGGGAAAGTTGTTCACGTGAGCGTGGATGAAAGACAATTTTTCGCTGACTTGAATGAACTAAAATATGCTTTAAATTATAAGCACTAAAGAAGAGTTATTGTTTTCTCACGAGTCCGTGAGATTGTAGTTTAAAGTAAAAAGAACAGTTTGTGCWGGTCCCATTTATGTTCACTGATTGGTTCCGTTACAGTTCATGTTGCTATCAGGGAGTTTACATTCAGCACAAATTATTGATGGGGTGCTGACAGAAAACAAATACTTGCAAGAAACATGGATGACAATATTTTATTTGTTGGACTCATGAAGCCACATGAAGGAAACTTAAGAGACGAAAAGTTAAATGTGTAAACTTATCAATTTAAGATATTTATGAAAGCCTTTTTGAGGCACAATGCGTTTACTTTAAGAAGGAAATATGGACTGTTTGGGATTTATTCCTCAATCATATAGATGAAGGTGCTGCAGTCAGAGGAAACCATTTAGACCAGGGGTGTCAGACTCATTTTCACTGAGGACCACGTGAGCATTATGGTTCTCCTGAAAGGGTCAGTTGTAATTAACTTCAACGTTCCTCGTCTTGTTGCAACAACTGAGCACCATTATCAAACAATAACTGAGTTCTACATGGTATTTTGTGCATTGAAAAAGCATTTCAATGTCCTATTATAAACACTGCAAAGTACTGTGTGTACGACTAAATGTGAGATTAATAACATGGAAATACTATTAAAAGTGAAACTAAGAAAGTTTACTCACTGTTGAGATGTGGTGAGTAGCTACCATCTYGAATTCTGAACTCTCCCACTTTCAGGGAAATCCCAYTGGAGGGGGTGTTTTAATTAAAATTCACAACTTGTAAGTGGGAAATTCCTATTTCCCAGTACACCTGCACCACCAGCAAAAGTGGTGAGGTGCTGTCATCTTATGAGTTAACTAATCAACATGCATTATGGGAGATGTAGTTTATGGTCAATACTGCTTTCAAGCATCTTATTTTAAGACAATAATTTTAAGCTCTTGTGGGCCACATAAAATGCAGAGGTTGGCCACATTTGGTCCACAGACCTTGAGTTTGACACATGATTTAAGGTCATCATCAACACTAAATGGGTAAATGATTGAAGTATGAAGCATTTTGGATTCTGTAGGGTCTTGAAAAAGTGCTGCATAAGTTCAATCTATTTACCATCAACATCTGATCCTGCTGAGAACCAGGGGCGGTTCTAGGGGCMTTGGCCTCATCTGAAATCTGAGTGGCCCCCTGAAGAGGCCCTGTCCTTTCACTCGTCTGTCCTTGCCCAAGAACAATGATGGTGGCTGCAGTTCCACTTCCAACCACTAGTAGCACCAGTGAGTCAAATAGGAAAGTCCAACATGACGCAAGCTTGCAGTTTTTTTTTTCAATTTGAACAATCCTGCAGAAAAAAAAAATGCTTTTTACTGACAACAATGCCTAGATTTTCTTACATGTTATGTGTTTGAGAGTATTTTATTTATTTACAGTAAAAATTKGTGTAAAATTGATAAGGAGAATTTACTGTGCAAGCTTTTACGGGTGTTTGAGCATGCACGTGTGACTGATTAAATGTATAAACCTTACAAAAACTGGGGATTTGTGTGCAAGGATGTCGAACAAATACTTGGCCCTTCTGAATATTGTGGCCCCTTAATGGCCTCTTACACTGAAAAATCCTAGATCCGCCACTGCTGCGAACACAAAGTGAAGCATGGTGGTGGCAGCATCATGCTGTATGGRTGTTTTTCATCAGTAGAGACTGGGAAACTGGTCACAGTTAAAGGAAAGGTGGATGGATCAGCTTGAGAAACTTATGAGGAGAACCTGTTGAGACGGAGGTGCAGCTTCCAGGAGGACGATGACCCTGGACCTGCTGAAGCAACACTGCAGGGGTTCAGGGGGACCAGTTAAACGTCGTGGAATGTTTAAATGAAAATCTCTGTTTTTTTAAGCTAAGGTTGGACACAAACAGCACCTGTTTGACCTGAAGGAGCTGCAGCAGTTTGCTCATGAGGACTGAAGAAAAACTCCAGAGGTTAGACCCAGATCACGTAGAGCAAACTGAAGCTGGAAGTATTTAAAAAGTGCTCTATGTATTTAGATTTAGAGGCTGAAAATGCACAATTTTTTTCTTTTTGTTGATTTTTTTATTTTTATTTTTTTCCCCTGGGCTGTTTGAATTTTGTATTTGATTAAGATAAATTCTTGTTAAGACCTAAAGTAATTATTTGAGTGAAAGTAATCATATTCARGGTTACCCTAAGAATCCTGATTCATAAAACGGTGGGAAGTAACAGTGGCACGGTGGGCTTCCTATTTCCCTCCTATTGTTTTGGCTTCCTGATAGTCACTCGTTCCTGTTGATGTAACGTTCAGGACGTAGAAGTCAAAAGGGAAGCAGAGTTGTCCCTTTGTGCCTTTCCTTTCCTCCTATCATCACTCACATGGGTCACTTGTGCTCTACATTTTCCCTTAACCTCCTTATAGAGAAAAAGAAGACAAGTGAGAAACTGATGACATGGTGAGGTGAGTCAGCAAAGCTTCAAGGATGGACAGCGGAACAGACTTTTGACACAGGAAAACAGCATTTTCCTCTGACAAAGTGGTCCCGGTCGTGTCCCCACAGTCATTCTGTTCCCATAAATCTGCAAGGAAAAGTTTTAGAGGAGCTCAGACTTGTTTCATAAAAACAGAACTATTATCAGTGAAGACAAAAACCCTTCTATCAGTCTGTCACGGTCAGACACCAAAYGCCTTCCAGCCAACAGAGCTCTGCTTGTTACATTCGTCTAGTACTGTGTCCATGCACGGACCTCAACTCTGTTCTCTTTACCCCCATATCTGCTGAACTTGGCATTTTGACAGCATGTGGTGCTTGGCTACTTCAGTGAGTCATTGCCAGTAGCTGTCATCACATTGCCTGCAGGCACCGGTGACATCTGCATACCAGATGCTTTGTGTGCCCGCTGTCTGAAGTGTGCTCCGAGCATTCGTGGAAAAAGACATTAAAGTCTTTCACTGAAGTAGCAACAAGTATGAGAAGGGCTTGAATAAAACAAGAGCCAGGCCTGCAACCTAAAGAAAGACTCATTAAAACAAAGGTTATTTAATAAAGACTGTTTTACTTTTGAATGAGCATTTGTAACTTAAGGGATGGTACAGCATAGCTTTAAACACTTTTGCACTTCTTTATTTATAGTTTGAAAGCAAACACTGTCACTTCTACTTTACTACATTTATATAAACAAAGGTGGTGTTTTAGTCGTTAATTTGACAAATTAATTGTTTGTCCAACCCAGATGACGATAAGTACTAGCTCAAAATAAAGAAAACATAAAGTAAATTTTTAGATCTCATAAACGTGACCTTGACTTGTTTAAATGTTGACCCAATGACAAGTTTTTTATTGCAGATAAGTCAATTTTGATGCATATATATGCTTTTATTTTTTTAGTAAAAAGTTACGTGCAAAGTGGTATTTTAGAGTGTTTTTTCCTGTGTAAAAAATAAACAAAAAAMCAATAATGCAGTAAATACACTGTTTCTTTTAATCATTAAGTGATTCTTGAAAAAATGGCAAAAGGTTTTGAATGGGAACATGCAAGCTGTTTGAAAAGTTCACATCTCTGTGAGATGTGGAGCACATGTTCAGCAGCCCTGATCTTTTTTTTTTTTTTTTCCATGTTTGATTTTGAACTTTATTTGCTTGTGGTGAGGTCAAAGGCTTTGGAAAACCATAAATATCACTTCCAAGCATTGTGTGGCAATAAGGAACGCACACTCTGCCAAACGTATTACGTATTTCAGAAAGGACACAAACGGCTGTTTTTATCTGGCCTTCCTGCTATAATGTTGAAGTGGGTATAAATATTTTTTTTCCACAGCATATTAACATTGTTGTTGAAAATTTTGTTAACTTTTCAGCTGTTAGGCAAATCTGGACATGTTCACCCAGATGGTTTGACAGGAAAATAAATGGTAATACAGGGCTGTGCAATAGTTCTAAATCACTCCTAATTTCTTTATCATTTGCTTTAATCAAAGAGCCAACCATTCTTGTAATCTTATGGGCTTGATCAGTATTTCTTCAGGCTTCCTAAATGTTTCTTTTTGGATTTCCTTGGACATTTGCGTTCTTTCTCCTCTGGTTTTCTGTCCAGTGATTTATTGTGCATGCGACGTCTGCTTAAAAATCAGGAAAATGGAAGACAAAGGAAAGGTATCAGGACTTAAAAAACCTGTCAACATCAGGTCAGCAATATCTAAAAACTCATGGTGTTAGAAATAGAAATCAAAGACTTGACACAGCCTGAGAGACACATCGTTTTACTACACAGTATGTCAGGTTTTGGGCTCCTTTGACCTTATTATACTAAAATACACTTTTAAGTGTTTAAACATGTTTTCATGCTTTTGTGTTTTTTTGTCCTTTTTTTAGAATAAACAAAATAAAGAACTATAATATGTGCCTTTATGACAGGATGTTGGTAAAAAAAATCCCATTTATGATTCAACAAAATACATACTTAGGCTACTGTGTAGAACAGGGGTGTCAAACTCATTTTCACCGAGGGCCACGTGAGCGTTATGGTGGCCCTCGATGGGCCAGTTGTAATGAACTTTGATGTTTCATGTTTAACTTTGACTAAACAGAGTTTGAACACGTCCTCTTTTAAACACTGATAAGAATTAAGTGTATGACTGACTAAATCTGTAATAAATACAGAAATATTATTAAAAGTAAAACTAATAAAGTTTTACTCACTGATGAGTTTCTAGCTGCATTATGGCAGACTGAGTTTATGGTTGATGGTGACTTTAAATCAGCTTATTTTCAGACATTAGTACTGTGCTATCCAACTAAATTGGTTAGTTACTTCAAGCCAACAGCTCAGGGATAGGAATTTTTTAAATTTATTTTTATTTCATTTATTTTTATTAAATTAATTTTGTTGCATTTAACCATTAATTTAAAGTTTACCATTGATATAAGAAACAAATTTCATGTTAAGTGTAAAAAACACATTTGGCCC